GACCTGTACAGACAATTTTTTGTCATAGGCTGTAGTATCCATTACGAATCTCAAATACCAAATTTGAAACAATTCCGATGAATAATGTCGTTAAATCATCAAAATACCGAATATCGGGAGGTACCGTTATATGGGGGCTATACGAAGACGTGGACCAGCACAGATAATTTTCTGTCATAGACTGTAGTATCTATTTCGAACTTCAAATACCAATGTTGAAACTATTCCGGTGAATAATGTCGCTAAAATCATCAAAATACTGAATATAGGGTGGTACTTATATATGGGGGCTATAGGAAAACGTGGACCTACATGGCCCATTTACGAACTTAACCTGCCTACTGGAAAAATAAACACGTGTGCAAAATTTTTGCCTTCTATTTCAATTCGTTCGAAAGATAGCGTGATTACAACAGACAGACGGACATCGCTAAATCGACTTAGAATTTTACGCTGATCAAGAATATATATACTTTGTTGGGTCTGACATGAGTATTTCGAGGAGTTACAAACGGAATGACAAAGTTAATATACTCTGCATAGTATGGTGAAGGGTATAATAAATAAAGAGATTTTTATTATTGAAATGATTTTCTTTTTTTTCAAAATTAGTTTCAAGCTAAATTTTATTCCGAAAAATGTTTTATTTTTCTGAAAGAATTCAACTTTATATCTCCAAATACCATTGATTATTATTATTTTTTTTTTTATTTTTAAAAGTATTTGGAGGAAAAAAGTTTTTTTTTTATATATGTTCTAAGTCAATATTTTCAAAATATCACAATTTAATAAAAAATAATACACTAAAAATATGAAAATCCATAAAAAAAAATATTTTTAAAAATAACGAATTCCTTCAATAAAATATTAAAAAAAAAAACATGTGTAAAGTCCTTGGATGCAAAAATATTTTAAAAATTCTTTAAGTCCTTAAAAATATTTTTAACTATTAATGAAATCTTTGGACAAAAAATATTTTTAAATGCCAACCACAGACACCAACAGAGACCTCAATATAAAATTTGAGAATTTCAACTCTTTTCCTTCACCCAGTACCAAATTTAGTACCGTTTAGTACTTTTCGTACAATTTTATTACGCTTTTCCGAAACCATCTACATAACACAATTACAGATACCAACAGAGACCTCAATATCAAGTTTGATAATTCCAGCCCTGTCTATTCACCCAATACTAAAGTTACTAACACATAGTACTCTTCGTAAAATTATGGTACACATTTCAAAAACCACCTCCATATCTCCATATCTTAACTCCAGATACCAACATAGACCTCCATATGAAATTTGAGAATTCCAGCGCTATTCCTTCACCCAATACCAAATTTAAAACCATTTAGTATTTTTCGCACAATTTTAGTACATATTACCGACAGAGACCTCAATATTAAATTTAAGAAATCCAGCCCTATCCCTTCACCCAATACCAACAATAGTACTATTTAGTACATTTCGTACAATTATAGCACACATTTCGAAAACCACCTCCATATCTCTGTTTCGGATATCAACAGAGACCTCAAGAGAGAGAGAGAGAGAGAGAATTCCTGCAATATTCCTTCACCCATTACCAAATTTAGTACCATTTAGTACTCTTCGTACAATTATACCAAACATTTCCAAAACCACCTCCATATCTCAATTCAAGATACCAACAGAGAAATTTGAGATTTCCAATTCTATTCCTTTACTCAATACCAAATTTAGTACCATTTAATACTTTTCGAACAATTATAGTACACATTTCCGGAACCACCTTTATATGTCCAGTCTACATATGAACAGCGACAGTAATACCAAATTTCCGATTTCAAGCACTATATTTTCATCCAATACCAAATTGTGCCAAATATAGTACTATTTAGTACTTTTCGTGCACTTGTAGGACACATTTCCAAATCCACTTCTTGATTGCCAACCTACCGCCAACAGAGTCTCCAATACAAAATTTCGAAATTCCAGCTTTATCCATTTACCCTTAACGCAACTGTTCCAAAATTGGTACCATTTCCGAACTAAATGGGATTTATAAAATTTTTATAAAAAATTCGACCTTTTGTGGGAGGAGTGTACCCATATTGCCCATCTCCGAACTCGATCTAAGTTTGATAATAATATTACGATGTACCAAGTTTGGACCAAATCGAATACTCCCTTCGATTGTTATCGGGCGCACCAGCCAGCCAGCCAGACAAACGGACGGGCTTACGGACGGACATCGTTAGATCGACTCCAAATGTCCTGAACGGATTTGGTCCAAAAAGAGCCCTAGAATATAAAATCGTTATTTCGATGAGACACGTTTTGGCCGTGTGGTGTCTACGGTAATGGTTATGACGTTATGGTATGTCACAAATAATTAATTACATTATACCCCTTAAGATTGGTTTGAGCAGCTGTTTTTTATGGTTATGGTTATGGCACGTCTAATCGAATCTTCTTTCTCTTTTTCGAAAAAAAAATTTAAAACGTTTTTAAAAATTTTTAAAAGATTTCAAGCTATGAAGGTGGAATTTTTCGGAAATTCTTTTAAAACTTTTTATAAATTTTGGAAATTTTAAAAAATTTTTACTGGTTTTGCAAATGTTTTTTTTAGTTTTTTTTTTTTCGAAAATTCTACAAATAAAAAATGAAATCTACAAGTTTTTAAACAAACGACGAAAGTTTTCTGTGTTTGTTTTCTCTTTCGAGACGAGCTTAATGATCTGAAATTTGCAGTCGATTTTAAAGTCGTCTCGATAGGCTACCTTATGATCGAATTCATAGACCTCAAAATCGTCTTATTTGGTGACGCTAAAGAGAATTCTAAAATTTTAGGAATTTTAAAAATATATATAAAATATAAAATATATGTAGAAATTTAAAAATCTGCCGACAAAAAAATGAAGACTCCTAGAATTTAAATAAATTTTTAAATAAATCAAAAATTTAAAGATTTAAATTTTTATACCCTCAGCCATATGGCTACAGAGGGTGTATATCATTTGATACGGTCAAAACGTGCCTAGTCGAAATAACGGTTTTACACCCTAGGTCTCTTTGGACCAAATCCATTTCAGAACATTTGGAGTCGATCTAGCGATGTCCGTCCGTCTGTCTGTCTGGCTGGTGCGCACGATAACTCTCGAAGGGAGTATCCGATTTGGTCCAAACTTGGTACATCGTAATATTTTTGTCAAACTTAGATCGAGTCCGGAGATGGGCAATATCGGTCCACTCCTTCTGGTACCTCCCCCACAAAAGTTCGAAATTTTCAAAAAAATTATTTTTTGCACACACAGAGAAACGATAATACGATTTTGCTCCAACTTTGCAAATCTTAATATTTGCGTCAGTGCTAGGTCAAGCGTGAAAATGGACAATATCGATCCACTCCCACACAAATGGTCGAAATTTGAAAAAAAAAATTTTTTTGCACAGAAAGAGAATCGATAAACCGATTTTGCTCGAACTTTCCAAATCCTGATATTTACGTCAGTTCTAGGTCTGGTGCAAAAATGGATAATATCGGTCCACTCCATCATGTACCTCCCCCACAAAAGGTCGAGATTTTGAATATCCATCAAGCTCTTAAAACACTAAATTAACATCCGATTCCATTCAGACTTAGTACGTCTCAATATTTTTATAAACGCAAGGTCTTTTATAAATATGGTAGAAATCGGGCCATTCGTTCTGATACCTCCCACACAAAGAACCTAAGTTTTGAATAATCAAAACGAGCAAAGAATCCGAAATAAACATCCGGTTCTCTTCATATTACACACGTCCCATTATTTCTACCAACTCAAGATCTGGTGTGAAGATGGGATAAATCGGTCCACTCCTTCTGGTACCTCCCCCACAAAGGGTCAAAATTTTGAGTATCCATGAAGCTCATAAAACGCAAAATTAATCCGATTCTATTCAGACTAGGATGATGTAAGAGTCCGATTGTCTTCAAATTTCACATATCTCAATAATTTTATTAACCCAAGGTCCGGTGCCAAGATGGAATACATCGGTCCACTCCTTCTGGTACCTCCCTCACAAAGGGTCAAATTTGTTTGTATTTTTGTATTTTTTGTATCGTAAAACGCAAAATTAACATCCGATTATATTCAGACTTGGAGCTTCTCAATATTTTCATCAACACAAAATCTGCCAACTTATAATTGTCATAACTTGCGAAACAAGTCGTGATTTTTAACAACTTGCTATATCTAAATATTTCTCTTAGCCAGTATTCTGATATTAATATGTGTAATTGGTCGAAATTTATGATTTCGCATAAAATTGGATTCGAATGTTAGAAGACTTTCCAAGAGAATTTTAGTTTTATTTAATTCTTTGGTTCCTCTTCTATTGAGCTTACGATCTCGTCACTTGGGTAAAAAATGTTTTTTGTCATAGAAGTTATTTTTAAAATAACTTCTGGGGAGAATATCCCAGACTAAAAACAAGGGAACTGATGAGGATTGGTGGCTCTTTCCGAAACCTAGGTATTCCCTGCCTTACCCCCTGGTAAACATTACCATCGTTCTCCACTAATAAACAAACGTTGTTTTTATAAAAACAACAATAAAGGGATAAAGCCAGACCATTTTGCAACAACAAAAAAATAGATATGTGCAGCTACTACTAAGTCAGTCTAAGCATTAATTATTTCTCCACATAAACTGTAGAATGTTATTTTCGGAAATCTTTTTTAAAAAAAAAAAAAAAAAAAAAAAAAAAAAAAAAAATGGTTTCAAGGTCTATTAAAGGTCATCCCGATTGATATGTATATTTAGTTTCAATAAATAAAAATAATATTTTTTCTTAAATCTTAACCTACATAAATACAAATATATCTACTTTCAAAGGGACTCTGCAATTACCTTTTCGTCTGTATCGATTTCGGAGAACATTGAAAATAACTATTTCTGTATGTGTTCGTATGTTTGTCTGTGTGTTTTTTTACAAGTAAATATGTCTAATAAGTGTATATGTATATACTTACTACCCAATAACATATAACAGTCGGCATTATCCTTGCGCAAGTTTATGGCCGCCGCCAATGTGTGGAACGCACTGGCATACTGCTGAGCTGTAAAACGCAAAGAAATAATGAAGAGGAAATTAAAGTGTGTCAGTATTAAGTGAGTTCCGAAGAGTAATAATAATAATAATAACAGCGAACAGAAGCAGGGACTAAAAACGTAATGAGGTAAAGTGAAAGAACAACCTCCAGCAGCATCGTCATCATGGCTAAGTGTTTCTGGCCGTATACACATTTAAAGACTTTGTTTTTTTTTTGTACCCTACACCACAAGGTGGTCAGGGTATTATGTCATTGTGCATTTGTTTGTAACAGGCAAAAGGAAACGAGATAGACCGACCCATAGTTCCTTTTGATGATCTGCATAGAGTCACATTCTGGGTCGATTTATGCATGTCCATGTATTTTTTTTTAAACAAAGTACAGTTTGCATTTATTGTCCTATCCAGATGAAATTTTGCACAAATCATTTGTTTGGCCCAAGGACGAACCCTATTGAAATTGGAGATAATCGGTCAAAATTTAGATATAGCTCTCATATATATCTTCGTCCGATTCGCCTTTTATTGTGCACCAAACGTGTAATATCAGCCCGAATAGTATGGAATTTTGCACATACAATCAAATTAGGCCTGAAAATAAGTATGCTAAATTTGATCGAAATCGGTTCAGATATAGCTATAGCTCCCATATATATTGTTCATCCGATTTGTTATTTTTGTCCTCCGCAGCCGTAATATGCACTCTGTAACAACAATATTTGGGGAAATATATCAAAAACAGCTCAGAAATACATTTGCTAAATCGGATCGGTTCAGATTTGGATATAGCTCCCATATATAACTTCATCCGATTTACGTTTTATTGTGCACCAAATGTCTAATATTTGTCCAAATAGGGTGGAATTTGGCACTTATGACCGAATTGAGTCTAGAAGCTAGTATGTTAAATTTGGTGAAGATCGGTTCAGATATAGCTATAGCTCCCATATATTCTGTTCGTCCGATTTGTTATTTTTGTCATCCGCAGCCGTAATATGCACTCCGTAACAACGATATTCAGGGAAATAAATCAAATACAGCTCAGAAATATCTTTGCCAAATTTGATCAAGATCGGTTCCGATTTGGATATATCTCCCATATATAACTTCGTCCGATTTACCTTTTATTGTGCACCAAACGTCTAATATTTGTCCAAATAGGATGCAATTTGGCACTCACGACCGAATTGAGTCTAGAAGCTAGTATGTCAAATTTGGTGAACATCGGTTCAGATATAGCTATAGCTCCCATATATACTGTTCATCCGATTTATTATGTTTGTTACCCACAGCCGTAATATGCACTCCGTAACAACAATATAGCTCAGAAATATCTTTGCCAAATTTTATCGAGATCGGTTCCGATTTGGATATAGTTCCCACATATAGCTTTATCCGATTTCAAATTAATTGTGCACCAAATGGCCAATACAAGTCCGAATTTAAAAGGTACATATGCTTCGACATATTTAGTCCTTTGAACATTAAATTATAATTATAATCATGGCGTGTATGATTGAATTCTCCCATAAACATTTTAAAATGTTATGCGGAGCTCTACTAAATTAGCAATTTGGTGTAGGGTATCATAAAATCGGCCCCGCCCGACTTTAAGACTTTCTTTACTTGTTTTTTTTTCTATAATTTTGTTTCAGTTTTCTAGATTATTGTCAATATTCAAGTTCTTTGGCGGGTAATATAGGTAGGTGGCAGTGGTGCTGGGCTCTTCTCTACTAGGCCATAACCAACTAACAAGCATCCATCCATGCATCCATCCACTCATCCATCCTTGTTTATCTGTTGCTCGATGCCTTCCACTCAACATCGTTGCCAATGTAGAATTTTCTCTTGAGATTAGTTTCTCATTACATTTTTTAATTACGTCCTTCGCACAAAAGTTGCCGTTAAAGTGGGAGAAATTAGGGAGACATACTTTAAGAATAAGAGGCAGATTTTTAATGACTTGTTAAAATTTTAAGATTTTCTGGGGATTTTTAGAGTTTCAAGACTATTTTAAGGATTTTTTGGTGTTGTAGCTCCCAACAAAATCTTTTTTAATATTTCTAGAAACTTTAAAAATTTTCGAAAAATTCTGAAAACACCCTATATTACATCTTCGCATCGTTACTTATATGTGTTCAATACTCGTTATAATCAGCTTTTCCTTTATGTTGTCCTCTCCAGCCAGCCAGAGCCTTCATAATCATTGTTGGGAATCATAAAATATGTTGTAATAAATAGAAAATTATACATTAATTTATGATGGCTCTTTAAACAACACCACCAAAGCCAATTTATTTTTGAAAACTTTAAGTTTCGTATGCCAACAACAATGTTTTTGGAATCTCTTTCAAAATTATGATTTATGAGAAGAAATTGAATATTTGAGTAATGCGTAATTAAATTTAAACTGTAAATATTTTTAATTACTTTTGACAAGACACACACACACACAGTCTTGGGGGAGAACGAAAGAGAGAGAGAGGTAGAGAGAGATACTGTTGCTGGCATATGAAACATATCATGTTAATGCAACAAAATTCACATCAATAATTTGGAACTCACACACACACACACATACACCGAGAAAAAGTTGATGTATGAAGCAAACGTGGCATTTAACTCTTTCATCTCTCTTCCTTGCCACGAACCCTGTTTTTGTATTATGCATTGCTGGCTTCTGATTAAGGAAACTATTTAATTAAAGTGGAAAAGGGGTTGCCATATTTTTGCAAATTACAGGGCATTGTTGAAAATATATTAAAATTTATTATTATTATAATTAATTGTTGAAAATATATTAAAATTTATTATTATTATAATTAATATTCTAATATTATTAATATGATTCCAGGGTTTTTATGTTTTTATGGTTTCCATATTTCCAGAAACTCATGGAGATTTCCTATTCCTAGAAATGCTTTTGATAACAACTATCTGGCAATTATCCTTCTAAGACTTCTTGTAAGAGTCTAAAATTTTTTTGATGGCTTCTTTTGACTACAGCAAATTTTCATTTTGATCGTTCCTAAAGGACCTTTAAAGGTCTTTGTGGATGTTTTGTGTGAATTTTTTAAGATTTAATGCTAAAAGTTAAAAAAAAAACAGTTTTTCAAGGACTTGCAGAGTTGTGGGTTTTTTTTTCCGAAGGACTTTATGGTCCAGAAACATGAAATTTAAAAGAAAACGTCTAGCACTTAATGAGCTTTCCAATATAAAATTATATCGGTTATGTAGGTCAGGGTCTAACCCGGATCTTGGATCCAGACTGTTGGACCAAATATCCGGTAATCCTGGACCTTCCCAAAAAAAAAAAAAGAAAAAAAAAAAAAACTAGTAAAGAAAGTCTTAAAGTCGGGCGGGGCCGATTTTATGATACCCTACACCACTTTGCTAATTTAGTAGAGCTCCACATAACAATTAAAAATATTTATGGGAGAATTCAATCATGCACGCTATGATTATAATTATAATTTAAAGTTCAAAAGACTAAATATGAAGGGCTCACAGCTATACCGAACTAAGTCATAAAAACATAATTCCAAGATATTTAGAGGTAAAGTAAATGTACTGCAATTAATTTCTGGAAGCAATATTTTAGTCTACCAAAAGAAAATGTAAAAGTCTATATTCAAAATTAACTAATGATATAAAGTTAAAAGAAAAATAATTTAAATATATTACTAAAAAAATATTCAAAAACAAAAAACCTGCTTTGGTTCGTTATTGCTCTGAATAAAATTTGAAGGTTTTACAGCTAAAGCGAACCAAGTCAAAAAATAAATAAATTGTTCATTTTATGACTAAATATAGTTGATGTTCCGCTTGTAATAAGCAACTGATGTTGATAGCTTTGGAAAAGGCAATGCTTTTTGAATGTCGAAAGTACAGAAATAGTGCTCATCAGATGGCACTTCTGTATTCAGTGAGTCTCGAGCTAGCTGTGCTGCTTTTAAGTGAAGTTCCTTTTGCCAAATTAAATTTGTATTTTCGTCTTCATAGAATTTTATTTTCATGTTAAGTTCATCACATATTCGAAAGTTATCCTTATCCGGTCAGTGCTCCAGTGGTCCATTCCAACAAGTACCTCCCCCACAAAGGGTAAAATTTTTAAATAATTATAACTCTTATAAAATGTGATGAAATTTTCCGATTGTGTTCAAATTACACAGATCAGAATATTTTTATTAACCCACGCTTTGCTGTGAATATGGAATATATCGCTCCACTACCTCTGGTATCATCCCCACAAAGGGTCAACATTTTGAATATCTATGAAGCTCATAAGACGCGATATTATTCGATTTCATTCAGATTGGGTACATTTCAAAATTTCCTTCAACACAAGATCTGTTATAAAGATGGTAGAGATCGCACCATTTCTTCTGGTACCTTCCCACACAGGGTTCAAGATTTTGAAAAACAAAACAGAAAGAAAACGAAATAATCATCCTACTCCCTTTAGATTTCACACATACAAACATTTTCGCTAACACAATATTTGTTGTGAAGATGGAATATATCTGCGAACCCCTTCCGGTACATCACCCACAAGGGGTCACAATTTTCAATGCCTTTATCTGTCATAACTTGCGAAACAAGTCGATGATTCTTTACAACTTGCTATATCTAAATATTTCTCTCAACCAGAAACATGAGATGAATATGGAATAATGTACGATTTTCTTGTCATTGTGCCCATACTAATATTTAATGTGTATTAGGAAAAAGTATATCAAATAAAAAAACAGTAAGTTCGGTCGGGCCGAGCTTTGAATACCCTCTACCATTTGGAAAGGATTTGGATATTAAAGAATACTTTTAAAAATCATAAAAATACCGAATATAGAGAGTTATCGTAATATGGGGGTATATACGAAAATGTGGACCTGCACAGCCAAGTTTTGTCATAGTCCATTACAATATTCAAATAGGAAACTTGAAAAAATCCGGTAAATAATATCGCAAAAACATCATAATACCGAATACGAAATATGAAAAAAATTG